CTGATGAATTGGATCGTATTTTGATTCCAATGGAATAAATTATGACCATGGAATATTAGTGTTTAAGCCTTTTTATTATATATATATATATATATATATATATAGGATGTGTATCAAAAATACTTTTATAACAAAACAAGGAGAAAATTCCAAATAAACATATGTCTGCAAATCCTTCGTTTTTTGAGTTATTAAGTTTCAAGTATAAGTTAGTACCAAATATTGGAATATTTGTTCTTTATTTTTATATATATATATATATATATATATATATATATATATATATATATATATATATATATAACATAATATAAAAGGATCAAACATTAATATTCCATGGTTATAATTTATTACATTGAAATTGTAATCATGATTCAATTCAGTATTTAATTTTTTATGGGAAAGATGTATGACAAAATGAAACAAGTTTTCATGTGACACATTTTGTCTGATGAAGTCCTAAATGATGAAATGTATCACACAAAACCTTTTTCCACATTGTCATACTTCTTTCTAATAAAATACATATATATATATATATGTGTGTGTATGTATGTATGTATGTATGTTTGTCATACATGGTGCCAAACCTGTTCAGAAACATCTAAACTGTCAGCTGTACATAAGCAATTTCTTAGATCAATGATAGAAAATGACTTTGTGCAAATGAGGCTATTAGGTTTTAGAGAGGCACATACTTCTTCAAACCATGTGGACGAATGCTACAAAATAACAAAGTACTTTACAAGATAGCAGGAACCACACCATTTAAAGACTTTTGACAGCAGCCACAATTGATATGGATAGCACATGTAACTTGAAAAGAAAATGATAACATAACCAAAATGTTGACCTACCTCACTATTTCAAACAAAAGCTTAGGAAGGAAACCTATTTTCCTGAAAAATTGTTTATTGAAAGATTTTATAAATTTCATATGAAAGTAGCACTGGCTTCTCAGTCAGTGAATACTTAATGATCCCTTCTAAGGATTGATTGACTGATTTGTTTTTATGGATTATCAACGTTCTGTGTGTTATTAAAATTACAAAGGGATTTTAAGAATAACTTTTTTAACTGAGTGAATATTGCATTAACCATTTTTTGAGAATAGCAATGATATTTCCAGATAAATGTCCTACTTTTTAAACCACAACTGAGGTTGGGCACAAATGAATTCTCACCTTTCCCAAGTTTATTTGTGTGTAAGTGAAAGTAATGAACCTGACTGAAATACAAACTCAGTTCTGTGATTTTTCCTTGTAAGGAAACAGCTAATATCGCCATTAGCATTACCATATATATATATATATATATATATATATATATATATATATATATATATATGTGTGTGTGTATGTGTGCAAATATTTTCATGGCAGCTGCTCTGATAAACTATTTTCCCTGGTGCCCTGACTACATGAATTTAAGCATACTACTAGAATGGCATCTAGGTCCCACCCTTTTACTGTTGAAATAGTTAAATGTAACTGCCACTTCTACTCCAACAGTTTCTTTTCTTGCACTTCCCTTCTGTGAAGCTCCCTTCCATTTACTTGCTTCCCTGATAACTACAATCTTCAAAAATTTAAATGCAATGTCAATCACCATCTCCTATCTTCTTGAATCCTGTTCATCTTTCTCTCACTTTCACTCTCTGTAAGCCTCTGCATGCTAGTGTCATTCCCACCTTGAAATGATTCTATATATATATATATAAATATATCAAACATTTGATATATATATATATATATATATATATATAAATATCAAATATTTGATATATATATATATATATATATATATATATATATATATTTTTTAATAAGTATGCATATAATATATAAATAATTATACATATATATATTTATTTATATTTATATACACTTTTACATATATATATATATATATATATATATATATAAATGAAAAAAATATATATATATATATATATATATATAAATATATCAAACATTTGATTGATATATATATATATATATATATATATATATATATATAAATATATCAAACATTTGATATATATATATATATATATATAAATATATCAAATATTTGATGTATATATATATATAAATATATCAAACATTTGATAGATATATATATATATATATATATATATAAATATATCAAACATTTGATGTATATATATATAAATATATCAAACATTTGATATATATATAAATATATCAAACATTTGATATATATATATATATATATATATATATATAAAATGCTAAATGAATTTTCTGATGAATTAGTAACTTTGTATCTGCATTTACAATTCTCCAAGATGCAACTGAATGGTGTCATTTTTTCTCTTGTCCCGAAATTGAGAAAGAGTGTCATCTTGGACCTTGTCTCTTCTTTTGGTGATACCGACTTGAGATCTCTCTTCTACAGTTATGTCTAACTCTTTATTGCATTGGTTATAAATTTTTGACATATATTCTGAACTTTTTGTCATATTCAAAAATTACAATTCTTGGGAAATGATGTTGAAGGCATTTCAGTTGTCTGTCTATGCTGTTGGTAGTGTAACATGATGGGGGGATGAATGATTGATGATTTGATGATCTGCTTTGTGGTCATCATGTCTGATGATAGATGCTGAGCCAAGAAGGAGAGCTATGATGGATGTTAGAGACATGAGGGAAGGGATGATGTAAGATGATTGCTAGATGTCAGTACATCATCATCAATAATTTGAACCTGATCATTCTATGTGTTTTCTGTTTTTCTGACTGCTGATCATTCAATGATGATGATGCCAAGTTGTGTTTACATTTTGTCAGCTTCAGTTTCAAACAGAAATAAGAGCATGTAACATTCGGATGTGTGGGTAGCAGTGTGGAAAGTGAAATCAGTTAGCTGAGTTCAAGTTATGTCTAGTTCTAGTCTGTTATGTTCAATTTGTACTAAAGCCCTTGGAAAAGGTATGAATTCATCTATTCTCCTCCCAGCTATGGATTAAATAGTAGACTGCATTCTCTAGCTTTTGGTGACAGTCAGTCTAAGAGAAGAATTCAAAACTGGTGAAGGCGTGACTAATCACTGCACTATTTATTCAAAAAGATTACAAAATAAAACTGTAGAGAGACATATGTCCTGAATGTATATGGCATTAAAAATAAAACATTATGTAGATCAATATACCCATAAAAATAAAACATTATGTACCCATGAAAGACTACAATTTGGTGTGGATTTGACCTCAGGTTGACGAGGACCAACCCAAGAACACAAACAACGGAAAGGAAGGAAATATAGGGATGATGTCTTGGGAACATGTACTGCGCTAAGTCTTATATATGCGACAGGTAATCATAGGATATGTATGCTTGAGCTGTTCAAAGACAAGAGAGACGAGTCACAGGCGAAACAAGAGACAAGACGGCAGAGAGCTTGTCTCAATTATCGGTTATGATACACCCCACATGATTGCCTACCGAAGATAACCCCACAACTTCAGCCTTGTGCCGAATTTTACCAAATAAACAAACCAAACTTGACCAAAGTCAATAATGATATCACTTCTGATTTAGATGCAGGTTGAGCTGCTGTGATGATTCAATCTTGGCTGCCTTATGATCAATCTTAAATCACAATATGGGAAGGTATGAGTTCAAAGCAGTCACTTCAGTGACCAATCGCCGGTGTTGGAAGTCTTGGACAAACCAGGGAGGGTGTTTACGATTACACATAATGTTCAAAAAACAGCTACAGATGTGTTTATATGTCAATCTTGATTCTTTTTATGCCCTTTTGATCTTGAAACACTTCCAATTGTCACCTCATCTATCTGGTAAAAGTGTTAAACACTTCTCAGGTACTTCAAGGTGACTCAGTTTCTTACTTACTATATAAAAACAAATAAAAAAAATTTGTCTGAAAATGAAATGTTTTTCCCAAAATAATTGGTGTGAAGAGGTTAAAACAGTATGTATATCACCAGGCAAGGTGAGAGTTAGGTTTTTTTTTCTTATGAGAATGAGAAGCAAGCTGGACTGTGTAGTTTACATATAAAGAGTTCTTTTTAATGTCAGTGCTCATTTAAGATAAAGTATTTCTTCAGTTTTTCATTTCCTATCTTTTTGTATGCTCTTTCTTTGACTTTTCTTAATTAAATGATTTCTTTCTCTTTCTTATACAGAAGCATAATTTCTTAGATCCTTATTTAAGTCTTTCTTTATATGATATATTAGGTTGGCCAGAAAGTCATGACTCATATGGGAAGCAGAAAACAAACAACATTTTATGGAGCAGCAACAACATTTATTTTCAAAATACAGTCCATCATTCTTGATGGTCTTCTGCCAGTGATCAGCCAACATCCAAATTTGTCCCAGATACCAGTCCACTGGCTTTGAATCAAAAAACTGTAAACAAGCTTCCTTCAAATCATCAAAAGTGTTGAATCACAAAGTGTGCCATTGAGTAGAATAGACCATAGTCACTCAGAACAACATCAGAACCGAATGGTGAATGTGGAAGAATCTCAATATTGTACATATGTTTGAACTTTACCTTAATCAACATGGCAGTGTGTGGACTAGCATCATCTTGCTGAAATAATGCTTGACCTCAGTTGACCAGTGCAGGAGACACCTTTTTTAGTTTGTCGTACACATGGTCTAGCTGCTGGCGATACAGTTTAATACTGATTGTGTGACTCTGTGGAACAAGCTTGAACTGCAGTACTCCTTGGAAATTCCTTGAGACAGAGATCATGACCTTCATGTCATACTGATTCTATTGTGAAATAGTTGTTCACCTTGCAGAACTCATTTCTTCTTTTGATCGTGATTAACCAAGTATACCCACTTCTCATCGGATGTGAAAATTCGCCTCCATAATCAGTCGTTCATTGGGTTATTGAGAAGTTGGCTGCAAATCTCTACTTTCCACTTCCTTAGTGAGTTAGGACTTTCTGGCCAAACTAGTATAAACAATTCTTTCAAATATAACGAATACATAGAATCATGTCCTTTTCAGTTTTTTCTTTTTTTTTTCTTTCCAGCTCATTCAGAAGGAGAAGAAATGGTAATTTGGAGAATGATTTCTTTTTTTCTTTACAAGATGAGACAGAAGGTTAAAGGTATGTGCTTGCTCTTCAAAGTCAGTTGATATCTTAATTCTCAAGCTGCAGTATTCCAACGATATACACCAACCAGTATCTTTGGACCACTGTTTCACACCTGCATGTAGAATATCTGAGGTAAACATTTTACCTAATCAGTTGACTTTATAAACTGCATCATCTTGGGACAGAAGTCATCTTTCTCAGTCAATTGTCACCTGACTCACTCTTTTTATCAAAGACTCAAGCAAAAGTAATAAATTTTGAATCTTATCAGCATTAAATATTACCTTCTTTTTTTTTTTAATATTCCATAATAATCACCTATCCTAATTTTCCTGTTTTCAAATAAATATTTAATATCTATTTTCCTTATTCAGTTTAAGCTATAAATAACAAACTCTTCCAGCCAACAAATGTTTTCTCTGTGATCAGAAATCTTCAGAAAGTAACCTTTCAGCTGTGTCCGTCCAATAACACTTGACCAACTGTCAGCTCAAATTATAGTCCCCAACTAATCCAAGATTATGGTCCTCTCCAAGACGATTAACAGTTTCAGAATGGTTTTTCTGTAGATAACAGGTTCTTAGTTTCTGTCTTTCTTATCAGGACTCTTCAAGAAGAAACCCTTCAGCTATATTGGGAAGTCAGTAGGGTCAGGTATTACTTGACATTATTGGATTATACTCGCAAACTCTGAGTTAGTTCAAGGTTCAAATCTCCAATTCACTCTGTATTGATTATTTTCAGAGCAGAAGCCCAGAACATAATATTAGATTCTTCTTTGTTTTAAATTCAGAGTTTATTTTTTAGTATTTGTTTCTGTGAACCCCATTTCTATATTATTTCTGTTCCTTCTATTTATATTTGAAGCACATGCATGTTTCTAGAGGCTGGATATTGAGTAACAGTAAGTCTGTTCAGATCTCCATGCACTTTCCTCAGTATTCTTATAGATTCCAGCAACACTCACATGTAGACCAGTGGCTCTCAACGAGGGTTCATATAGATCCTGCGGCTTCATGTAACATTACTGGGGCCTACAGAGGTTCATTTTAAAATGGTTTATTATAAGAAATTTTTTACTAGTGTACATAAATTTTTCTATAGAATTTCATTGTTAAATACAAGTTTATTTTCATTAGATTAGTTTTACTTCAAAATAAAACATATACATTTATTATTTCTATAATATAATTCCTAAACTTATCTATTAGTAAAAAATAAAATAAGTTTTTATTTTCATCAAAAGCTTGGGGTGGGGGTTTACAAAAAAATTAAGAGTAAAAGTGGTCCATGAGTAAAATAAAGGTTGAGAACCAGTGAACTAAACAATTGCTCAAATTTCTTTTTTCTTTTAGCTTACATCATTTTTTTTTTTTTTATTATTTTTTCCAATAATTAGCTGTTTGATACAGTCCTTCACATGAGACCTGAGGTAAAGAATGTTTTTCTTGGAAAATTATTGAGCATATTATATTGTGAGAGTTTATCTTAGTATGCAAGCAGTGCACAATCTTTTGTACCTCAGATACTAAGAAGTATGGGAGTTTCTTAATGTATCTGTCAGTACTCTTTTTAATTAATCCTAGTGCTCCTATTATTAATGCAATAACCACCTTCTTGCATTTTTTTTATTTCCAGGTTATTATATGTTGGTAGTTATTTCCCTACCTTCTGCCTATGTTTAAATTCATTTGAAGCTAAGGTCAAACACGAGATATTAGATAGTCAATAGTTTCTTTTGTGTTTGTGCAAAAGTGACATTTGGGATTTATCCTGTTCTTTAAAATATTTGGTTTTCAGATTACTTAGGCCCTTATCTTTTTTTGCTTTTTGTTTGATGTTCTTATCTTCTTCTTAGGGTATTTTATCTCCTATTATCATTATTGAATGAAAGAGAAAGAAGCATGCCGACAAAGCAAAGCTAGAGTAAAAATAGCCTGATATTTCCACCATAACAGCCAATCTGATAAGAGTATATGAGGCACATGCATTACAACCAAATGTGCATGATATGATGACAGTTTTTGACAAAATCAGAATATAACCTTACAGGTGAGGCCCAGTTATAAATGCCTTCATGCCAGATGACTCTGCTTAGACAATCTCCAATTAAAGATTCTCCCAAGTATCTAGATGGTCACCTTAGCTCTCTCATTCTTCAAACTTAAAAAGAAAAGCAGCTCTCTCTTGATACCCAGCCATAATGCTCTTCCACCACTCATGAACAGAGATGCACAGTGAATAAATCCCTAGGGGATATTGACACCTGGTTATGGTCAGGCAGCTGACAAGCATATGTGTTACTGAACATGCTATGTACTGTAACCCATCTTAATTCACTAAGATGAAGCATGTACATGTTAATATTGCCAATCACATAAGATCAGAAGCTCCAAGAGACATGCCATTGTTTAGCATCAGGACAGTTATTATTATTTATTATTGAGTAAGAGAGCAGTATGCCAACAAAGTTACACGAGAGTACAAATATATGAAGCCCAAGAAGCCACAGTCTAATAAAGGTATAAGAGTATTTACTGTAGCCCATCTTAATTCACTAAGATTAACTATGTACACTCCACTGGAGCTCCCACTGTTTGTTTTAGGGTCCTCAACAAAATCCACAGATATGCAATGTGGTCAGCTCTGATCTGGCATCTCATTTATAGTTACTCTGTCCCTCTGTCTTTTCTACAAATACTTTCATTGTAACTGCTCTAACAAGCTATTTTTGCTAGTTCCAAAACTGCATGAATTTAAACATGCCACTAGATCGGCATCTCAGTCCCATCCTTTCACTGTCGAAACAGTTAAATGTAGCCATCTCTTCTACTCCAACAGCTTCATGTCTTGCACTTCCCGTCTGTGGAACTCCCTTTCTCTTACTTGTTTCTCTGATAGCTATAATCTCCAACTATTCAAATGCAATGTCTATCAGTATCTCCAGATGCCTTGATTTATTCCCCATCCTTCTCTTCACCCTTTCTTCTTTCACACTTCTTTACTCTTGCTCTCACTCTCTGTAACCTTTTGCGTGCTAGTGGCATCCCCATCTTGCTTGGGGTGAAAAGTTAAAAAAAAAGATGTTAATACCGTCAGTCAGGTAAGATCAGAAGCTCCAAGAGACATGCCATTGTTTAGCATCAGGAAACTTATTATTATTTATTATTGAGTAAGAGAGCAATATGCCAACAGAGTTACACGAGGGTACAAATATACAAAACCCAAGATGCTACAGTCTAATAAGAATATAAGTGGCTCATGCATCTCAGTCAAATTTGTGCAATTTTTATAGTGATGCAATTTGAAGGTCGAGAACACTAGAAGCAGACGCGAAAGTTTAAATATCAGGGAAGCGTCTTGACAGAGGACGGTAAGTGTGATACTGAGATCTGTAGATGTATTGGGATGGCTAAGGACATGTTCCAAAAGCTGGGTAGAGTACAGTGAGACAGATTTCTTTGGTAACAAAGAAAAGAATACTGATGTCTGTCCTTCTTTACAGCAGTGAATTTTGGACAGTCTCCTCAAAGATGAAGAAGAGATTCGAGGTGACACAGATGTGGTTCTACAGAAGCATACTAAGGATATCATGGACTGAGCGTGTGAGCAATGAGATCTTAGAGAGGTTGCAAACAAGGAAGAGGCTTATACTTAACATCTGGAAGAGGCAGCTTAAGTTTCTGGGACACATAATGAGGAAGGAGGGCTTGGAGAATCTGATACTCACGGGTTGAATAGAGGGAAAGAAAAACAAGGGAAAACAGTGCATGACATACCTGATGGTGGGGAAGCAGAGGGAAGGAACTTGTTGAGAGCTGCAAGGGATAGAGAGAGGTGGACAGCCATGATCACCTACACCCTAAAAGAACATGGCACATAAAAAAAAAAAGAATGTTTTGATAAAAGCAGCACATAACTCCTCATGGTGAGGCATGGTGAATGACCCAATCCATTCAAATGGGTCTCCAGTTTAGATAATGAGCTGCTTCAAGCTTAAAATTCAATTCTCTCAAAACCCAGCCATGATGTTTCCCCTTACTCCAGATCACAGTGGGTCATTCTATTGGAATTTCTGAGAGGAAAAGTTATAATTATATATACTATTTATATTTGAACTATTCTCCTCATCTTTGTTGTTGCTATCTCAACATTTCAGCCATTATCATACGTGTGATGAAGGTCGGAGGGCACAGCAACTGAAATGTTATGATAACAACAACAAAGATGAGGACAATAGTCTGCATGTTATTATTGTGTCTTGCCTTTGCTTTGTGTTGTATCAGTTGCCCCCAAATCTCAAACAGAGACTTTAATGGATATGTTTTTTTTGCATCAAAAGACACAAACATATGAGGCAGCTTTTCACTCAAAAAGAAAAATATGTAACTGCGATCTCTATATGGAGATAAATTTACACAACACATTAAAAGTAACCATGAATATGATTTTTGAAACTTATGAATTTTAAGGTGTCCAGGAATTTGAGCCATATTTTTGTTTGTTTCTTTTGATTTCTGGTATATAGAGATGAAGTTTGAGCTAATACATAAGTAAAAGCCAAATCTACTGTCTATAATAACATTTTATTGTTGACTCCATTTAGTTACAGCGGTTAAAGTGGATGACAATTGTCTTAGACCTTTTGTGATTTGAGAGTTTATACAGGTTCATTGTGTTTTTGGCTGACAGAAATTATTTTGTTGAATTCATCCTTTCTTCTTTTTCTTCTAGAGTTGTATGTTCAGTCAAACTCACATCTGATGAATCTCCAACCCTTTTGTCTTGAACTGCTAGATCAATCTAGTTTCCCACTTTTTATCTATGCTTCTCTGTGTTTTTTTTCTTTCTTTTCTGCCTGACACATCTGTGTTTTCTGTTTGATTTTTGGCAGGACATGTCATTAGTTGATTTTTTTTTATGACATTCACTGACCCACATAAGCTATGTCCAGGTTCAGTCAGTTACCAAGGATAGGAACAATAGAAGGGAGGAAAGGAAGTAT